TTCAGTACAGTAACTGTCATCCAAAATGTTGCCATAGTTTACATCAGGTAATACTAACAAAGTGCACTGTTATACTGACAACATGACTAAGCATTTTGACTATCTTGTTTGTGAACAATGACACAATGACTTTTCATTCGGATGGCACTGATATGTTCATTGACATAAATGCTTACTTTTGAGAGATGGACTAAAGATTTTGAGTAAGTTACAGGCTTTTGCAGATAATCCATTCTGTGGTGCTGTTTGTACGAATTGTTTTGAGAAATGCACATACTTTTTTGCAAATATTAAAGAAGATTTGAGAAATGCACCAAAGCGACTGAGAAAAACTGTAAAAACAAAAAAACAGAACTTAGACATCTTAGTGAAAACCTCTACCTCAATGTGAACGGCACAGCGTGGAACATACAGTGAATTTATCTGGGTACAGTATGTAAAAGAATTCACACAAGTGCAGCATATTGCTTTTTTCTTAGTGTAGTGTGTGCTTATGTATGTTTGAGTTAAGAAATCTCTCGTAGAATGCTAGAACGACAGACAGATAGATAGATAGATAGATAGATAGATAGGAGAAATTTCTTAAATAAACATTAGAACAGATTCTAAGATCAACAGATATGGCTCAGTAAATATTTGAATCACTTTCTAACATCTCCAACATTAGGATGCATTAAAAAAAGAGAGAGAGAGAGAGAAGAAAAACACTAAGAGAGCCTATCAGGGATCCCTTTGTAATCCAGCTCACTGGCTGCCCTGTACTGGTGACTTTGGAGATTGTTCAATTGATGTGACGCTAGGATGATGCTAAAATATATGTGGGTGGACAAATTGTAAAATTGGTACATTGGTAACACTTCACAATAAAGTTGGATTCATTAACATTATTAATGCATTAGGTATCATGACCTAACCATGAACAATACTTTAACAGCACTTATTTACCTGGGTTACTGTTCATTTCTGTATACTGTACACCAACAGCCTACATTTAAACATTTCAAGTGTTAACTAACATTACTGTATGATGAACAAAGGTGAATAGTGTAATATATCATGAATAAAACAATAGTATATTTATAATTTACCATTTACTTAGATTATAAATGCTTGTACATTCTAAAGTTTGGGGTCATAAAGTTTTTATATATATATATATATATATATATATATATAAACAACACTTTTTTTTCAGAAAGGAGGCATTAAATTGATCAAATGTGACAGTAATTAATTTATAATGTTACAAAAGATTTATATTTCAAATAAATCACTTTCTAATCATTAAAAAAAAATCCCGAACCAAACTGTATCATGATTTCCACAAAAATATTATTAAGCACAACTGTTAATAGAAAATGTTTCTTGAGCACTAAAGGATCATGTGACACTGAAGACTGGAGTAATGGCTGCTGTAAATTCAGGTTTGCCATTACAAGAATAAATTACATTTTATATTAATATGTAAATATATGATGATTTAAATGAGAAAACAGTTGCTTTGAATTGTAATATTGATCCATAATTTTGATCTAATAAATGCAGCCCTGGTGAACATAAAATACTTTTCCAAAACATAAAAATTCTTACTGACCCCAAACTTCTAAATGGCAATGTACATTGTTAGTTCAATGTTACCAAATGCATTAACTAATTGAAGTGTTATCAAAATAATTAGCAAATGTATACACTGATGTTTGCAAAGACGCTTCATAAATACAAAGTGAAGAACAAATCCATTGAACAGTGCTGTTGTACTGACCATAACTGACATCAGGCTTCATAGTTCAAAAGCAATCTCACAAAAGGAGAAGAAAACAGAGGACATTCAAGAGATTTCCTCAGCATAATATTCTAGAAAGTTGTGAAAGACTACACCTCCGCTAGAAATCCACTATAAATAGAAGAGGTTTCTGAATTATAGAAAACAATGCGGCACTCGTAGAAATCCAAAGTTTGACCATGTATATGGGTGAGGACCAGGCCAGCTCGGAATAAGTATATTGCTCTTCTGCCTCGAGTTACCTGTCTGAGTAGACCCTCATTATCCAGATTTACACATATTTTCCTAATTAGTGACTCAATGTGATGAAATTAAGACAAATGTGTAGAGTAGACTGCAGAAGCCCAGCTATACTTTGTCTGTTAATCGAATTCAATCAGTTTCATTTAAAAACAACAGTTGCGAGGAACAGAAGATATTATGACCCAAAATGAACATTTTGTTGTGTAATCTCATTCGCTGGTTTGTTAACCTGTAAATGGCAACCTTGGAAACCTCTGGAATCACTAGCCCAAAGTCTTCATCATTAGAAGATGCGCTTAATCCTTCTCAGATACTTCTGGCTCTTGATGTTCTGCAAAAACGTAAATGTAAAAAATTGTGCAAGCACACCATTCACGGTCACGCTCCCCTTTTGCATCTGTCAGAACAACACATAAAGCCATTCCACTCTGCGTTTCTTTACATTGTAGATGTTGAGTGAGAAGCAGCCATGTTCAAACAGACCACACGGATGACTCAGAAAGGAAAAATCAGAAAACAAACCGTTTGTCCGAGTGAAATAATCCTTTGAACAGACATGAGACAATCAACATCCTGGACTCCAAATGTTTCAGGCCTGTAGATGAGGCTCCTCCCTCCCTGAATGGACCCTGTTTAGCTCTGCAAATGTGGGGAAAGCATCATACTCCTCCTTCGCTTGCTCTTTTATCCTCACTCTCAGGGGCTGGTTCAGCCCAGCTGAACACTATTGGGGGAGATCCAGCTCTCCCGTGTGAGTGGGTGGCTTCAAACCAGCAGGTGTCTGCGACGGTGCAGGGCCAGATGGTCTGAGCGGGAAAAGCTTCGGTCGCAGTCCCCACACTTAAAGGGTTTGACCCCTGTGTGTTTACGGTAATGCCGTGTCAACTCGTCCGAGCGGGCGAACTTCCATGTACAGCCGTCCCAGGTGCACTTGTATGGCTTCTCACCTGGTGGAGATGATGGACCAATACTTAAGCCAAAATAAACACCACTGTAATTTTGGAAATATTAAGGAAAGTGTAAAAGACTGGTTGAAGGAATAGTTTACCCAAAAATGAAAAATTGGCCACTCAAGTTGTAAATGAGTTTCTTCATCAGAACAGATTTGGAGAAATTTAGCATTACATCACTTGCTCACCAAAGGATCCTCTGCAGTGAATGGGTGCCGTCAGAATGACAGTATTAAACAGCTGATAAAAACATCACAATAATCCAAAATACGACTCCAGCTCATCAAGTAACATTTTGTAAAGTGACCATTTTTGGATTGGAGAAAGCAAGATTATGATAGTGATCTCGATGATGGATTTGTTTATTACAAAAATGAATCTTTTTGCTTCACAAGACATGAATTAATGGATTTGAGTCATGGACTCTCATTCTGATGGTAACCATTCATTGCAGAAGATCCATTGCTGAGCAACATTTCTTTAAATCTGTTGTGATAAAGAAACAAAATTATCTACATCTTGGATAGCCTGAGTGTGTCAGCTAATTTTATTTTGGGGTGAACTGTTCCTATAACCAGAAACAATACTCCAAATTCAAATTAAGTGATAGTGAAACGAGGTGTACAGATTGTATTTGGGTGCTGACAAACCTGTGTGTGTCCTCCGGTGTGCCTTTAAATGGGAGCTCTTGGTATAAACTTTATTACAGCCTGCAAAATCACACCTGTGGATGCGTCTTTTCTTGGAGTCTGGAGATTCAGGGGGCTGTGGCCGTCGAATGCTCTCAATACTGAATGGTGACATGGAACTGAGAGAGAGAGAGAGAGATTTTTAATCACCCTGTAGTATAGAGCATGACAATATTATCAACTGACCTTATTCAGCATCCTAAGAAATTAACTGAGACAGCAGCATGTACATAAACTAACTGCTGCCACCATGTGGTAACATGATATAAAACAACAACATTTTGAAGCAGTAGTTAAGACCTGGACTATGTGTTATCCTCACAAAGTGGGTTAAGGTTTTAGTGCTTTTGAAATAAGTATCTTATGGTCACCAAGACTGCATATATTTGATCAAAAATACAGTAATATTGTGAATTATTTATACAATTTAAAATAATTTAAAATAAAATAAAATTTAATTTATTCCAGTGATAGCAAAGCTGAATTTTCAGCAAGCATTACTAGAGTCTTCAGTGTCACATGATCCTTCAGAAATCATTTTAATATGCTGATGTGCTGCTCACAAAACATGTATTATCATTATAATTGTTGAAAGCTGTTGTGCTGCTCACAAAACATGTATTATCATTATAAATGTTGAAAGCTGTTGTGCTGCTTAATATTTTTGTAAAATTGGTGATAATTTTTTTTTTTAAACCAGGATTGTTTTATGTGTACAAAGCTCAAAAGAACAGCATTTATTTGAAATGGAAATTATAAATTATAATTTTTTATCAATTTAATGCATATTTGCTGAATAAAACTATTTATAATAATAAGAAATGTTTCTTGAGTAGCAA